TGCATCTCCATCTTCTACAAGGGAACTACCTGAAGATTATGTTCAGTTGGTGAAGCATGTTCATGAATCTGGTGGTTATGGCTACAGGGGGTATGAAAAAATTATTTTTCTGGTACTTTTGCCTCCATATTTCTCCATCATGAAATCAGTTGTCAATTAATTTGTTTTTTCATATTCCAAAAGATATATGTACGACTGGAAAAGAGAGGAAGCAAACAAAAACCTCCTGCGTACACATACGACTGCTGTCTCTACTAGAATGCTTTATGCTCTAGCAAAGGTTTGATTGTCTTCATTATATTCATCCATCTCTGTGACTAGAAACCTCCTTCAGTTGGCTGTTTTTCCTAAATTCAAAAGCCCTTATTTTCTTAGGTTTTCCTCATGAACTTTTAATTTGGTTTTGAAAGTTGTGTATACTGCTTGATGCTAGTGCACGGCTGCACGTATACTTTAATGTTGTCTTAATCGTCTGTAGTTTTTGCTGATGTTGGTTACATCAATGTTAACTAGTACCTCCGAGTTGTAATGCTCATTTGCTTTATGATTTCATCTTTAGCAACCTTTTGCCCCCAAAAGATATTTTTCTATCGATCGTGTGTTTTTCCTCTTACAGAGTTGTGTAGTTTCTTTTATTCAAGTCCAACTTCTGATTATGTTCAACTGGATCCGAGCTGAGACCAATATCTATTTCACTAATATCTGATTAATGTTTTTATTTGGAAAGCAACTAATAATTTACTGAACATATGGAAATTCTCTCTTTTGCTTTAGGTTTAGTATGTGATCGGGGGCTTACCCTTGGTGATTTGATCGGTGTCCTGAATGATTTTTTCTCGCGACTAGGTAATGATCATCAATAATCATTCTACAGGAAATATAGTTTCCTAGCAGCATTGCTGAATAAATAGGACCAAGTGTGTTGTTTTTTACGCTTCAATATATCGAAGCCGGTAGTGCTTCTGGACAAGGTTTATACTTTATCATCAAATAGTTGGTTTATCTGCTGCAAGAACTGTCCTAGGAACGGCAGTGATGGTGAATACATTCTCTATGATCTCTTTCAGGATTGTCGAAGTTGCTTTCAAGCCTGCATACAACCCGTATACTGAACCTAGCATGGAGATATTCAGGTGATAAGTCGCATGCTTCTCCGAACGTGTTTATTACTTGTTCGGTAAACATAGATTTGATAGATCAATTTTGTTTGTATCAGTTATCATGAAGGCTTGAAGAAATGGGTGGAAATCGGAAATTCCGGCTTGTTCAGACCTGAAATGTTGCTTCCAATGGGATTCCCTGAGGATGTTCGCGTTATTGCTTGGGGTCTTTCGTTTGAAAGGTAAATATTAGTCTTTTCCCGGAGAAGGTATCATTTCGACGCTTTCCCGAGCAAAACATGAACCATGTCTTGATATCACTTTTCTGTTTGCATGGACGTAGACCGACTATGATACTCTATGGAATCGATAACATTAGGGATCTGTTCGGACACAAGGTACTACTAATACATATGCCAACATATCGTTTTCTTTCCATGTAGTGGTTGTTTTCCGATGGAATTTACCTATTAAGCGCGGCTGTTATTGCAGGTCGATCTTAGTCTCATCAAACGAAATCCTGTCTGTCGCCTCGGAATCAGTTAGATTATTATTGGGATAATTCTTGTCATTCCGTTTGTTTTTTTTTTGGTAATTGAACCAGGGATACACCAACACAGCTTGCACATGTAGTTTGATAGCATATATACAACAGATCAATGGCTGTATCAGACATTTTTGGTTTCTCGTTCATTTTGTGTTGAAACATAAAGTCCATGGAGTGGGATAAATGGATGGAAAAGTGGACGACATTATTTATTGTATTCAATTGCTGATTTTCGAAATTAACAGGGACTAAGTTGTTTTATTTATTTTAAACGGGTGTAATCTGCTCATTATTGGAATTGAGACTTCAGGGGGGTTTTTTCACCTATTATACACATATATTTACAATATATTCATGAATATAATTTTTACATGTATAATTTTTAATATATATATATATATATATATGTATATGCTTATCATAAAATTATTATTTTTAATTGACGGTGCCAAATAACAATTTGTTATAATAATAATAATAATATTATATATATATATGAGGATTAAATGATTAAATTGATAAAAATGTGTAAATTGAAAGATTAGAGGTTAAAATGAAAAGGGATAATAGTTAATTGATTATAGGTATTGGTTACCTTAATTTAATTTACTTTTAAAGTAAAAGAGCAGCCAATAAGAATATGACACTTGCCCATAATTTTGTTTTGAAAAAGTAAAATGTTTAATAATATTTGCTACTGCTAGAAAGCAGTATTAGATGCTCCTAAAGCAAATGGTTTCATGATCCAGTGGTCAGGACATTGGACTCTGAATCCAGTAACCCGAGTTCAAATCTCTGGATTCGTAGGGTTTCTTCTAAATTAATTTGGATTGACTCATTTCACATGTCTAATTTTAGTGAATAAATATTTTTTCCGACTAATCCGGATTGACCCGTTTCGTAAACTTTGGTGGGTGAGCATTTTAACGGTAATTTTCTGTATACACAAGAACTTAAAACTTGTTTAGCGATATCAAACTGCTTATCATTTGAATCAACGTCGTTGATATATATATATATATATATATATATATATATAAAGAGGTTCGTGTATTTTTGGAAATAAAAACTAATGTGGTACTAGTATTATTTTTACTCTTAGTGTGGCCACCAACTCAAAAAATAAACTCAATGTGGTCCTTTGACCAACGTTTTTCGTCGTTTGACAGTCTACGGTACTGATGTGATAATCCATATATTATGTTTGAATTACCAATTTAGTCTATCTATCATGTTATCAACCACGTGAATTGTCATATCAATATCGTAACGTCTTGATCAAAAGGTCACATAGACTTATTTTCAGAGTTGAAGTCACATTAAAAAAAATAGAGTATAGGGTCATTTTTATTTGAGAAAATAACTTCAGTGATCGAAAATGCCTTATAATATACGATTTTAACCAAAAAAAATTTATTTGCGAAAATGACCAACAAATTCGCAACGCGAACTCCAATTTCGCAACACAGGTTCCAAAATCGCAACGCGAATAGATAAATCGCAACTCGAATATGTAAATCGCAACGCAATTTTCCAAAATCGCAACACTAATTACCGATATAGGTAAACAGTACTATCGCAACGCGATTTTCAAATTCGCAACGCTAATTACCGATATAGGTAAACAGTGTTATCGCAACGCGATTTTCAAATTCGCAACGCTAATTACCGATATAGGTAAACAGTACTATCGCAACGCGATTTTCCAAATTCGCAACGAGATTTTCAAATTCGCAACGCTAATTACCGCTATAGGTAAACAATACTATTGCAACTCGATTTTCAAATTCGCAACGAGATTTTCAAATTCGCAACGCTAATTACAGATATAGGTAAACAGTGTTATCGCAACGCGATTTACAAATTCGCAACGCTAATTACCGATATAGGTAAACAGTACTATCGCAACGCGATTTTCAAATTCGCAACGCTAATTACCGATATATGTAAACAGTGTTATCGCAACACGAACAGTGTTATCGCAAAGTGAATAGGTAAATCGCAACGCAGTTTTCCAAATTCGCAACGAGATTTTCAAATTTGCAACCTTAATTACCGATATAGGTAAACAGTACTATCGCAACACGATTTATAAATTCGCAACACGATTTTCAAATTCGCAATGCTAATTACCGATATAGGTAAACAGTACTATCGCAACACGATTTACAAATTCGCAACACGATTTTTAAATTCGCAATGCTAATTACCGATATAGGTAAAAAATCGCAACGCTAATTACCGATATAGGTATACAGTGTTATCGCAACGCTAATTACCGATGTACGTACACAGTACTATCGCAACGCTAATTACCGATGTACATAAATAGTACTATCGCAACACGATTTTGGAAACTATGTTGCGATTTACAAATTCACATTGCGATTTTAGAAACTGTGTTGCGAAATTGGAGTTCGCGTTGCGAATTTGTCGGTCATTTTCGCAAATCCAAAAAAAGTTGGTTAAAATCGTATACTATAAGGCATTTTCGGTCACTGAAGTTATTCTTTTTTTATTTTTATTTTAAAAAGTATATGGACCTAGGGTATTTTTGTTGTACGGCAACCTAATATACATATAAGGAAAGACGCTACCGAAAATGTTATATTTTTTTAATATTTCTGATAAAACGCTACCTAAAATATATTTTTTTCTACCGAAAATGTTAATTGCGTTATCTAATTTCCGGTAAAAAGATAACATTTTAGGTAGCGTTTAATATTAACATTTTCGGCAGAAAAAAAATTTAGATAACGATTTACTGAAAATATTAAAAATAATATTAACATTTTTGATAGTTTATTTTCTTAATCGTATATTAGTCTATATTTCCTTAAACATCTCCTGGACCTATGATGCGTTGCCAAATAATAATAATGCAATCGATAATTGGATGAGAGAGAGACATGCAGAAGTAGGGTTTGAAGTACTGAGTCTGAAGCCACTTGGATCCCTGTTTAGAGAAACCATCCGAAGCTCAAATTCCAATGATCTGAAAACGAATCAAGCCTCACTGTTCTTCCCTCTCTTACTCTTTCTTGTCATTTGATTTCATATTCCAACATGACAAGACAGCTTAAATTTGCATGCTGCGCCATTGGGTCATCAAATCTGGTCCATTACGCCAATCTATTTTATCAATTTCTGTCGTTTTCTGGTTAAGATACTCACTTAAAAAAAACAACTCAGTTTAATGTCATTTTTTCCTGAGTTAATTAACTTGATTTGCTTGTCTGAAATGTGGTTTTAATGGCTCAACTCAACCCCACTGCTTATATAAATGGATTATGGACCCGCAACCTCAAGCACCACCCACTGCTCAACTACAAACCATCTATGCTTTGATTGGCTATGGCTTCGAGCTCCTTACGTTCCGATGGTTCGGGCTCATGGACCCCGAAGCAGAACAAGCTGTTCGAGAAGGCGTTGGCGCAGTATGACAAAGACACGCCGGACCGATGGCGGAATGTTGCCAATGCTGTTGGTGGGAAGACCGTCGAAGAAGTTAAGAGACACTACGAGATCCTTGTCGAGGATCTTAAGCGTATCGAGTCCGGTCGCATACCGATCCCGAATTACAAGTCGAATGGCGGCGGCGACACCTGCAATGGCTGGTGATAGAGAAGAAAGGTCCCGTTGACGTTATGGTCTTGGGGAATTTGAGCTTTCTATTATCTCAATGAATGTAATTCTTCATGCATTGTAATGAAGACTATCTATTTTTATGTCATAACGAGCTTAGCTTATTCTGAGTTGCTTCCTCTTTCAATTGGCGAGCGTTTTAACAAGGGAATTAACTACATCAAAAGATCCCTAAATAATAATTCGAATTTAAAATTAATCTCTAAAATTTAAAATATTCTAATTAAATCATTAAAGTATCGATATTATTTCAATCAATTCAATCCGTAAGTTAATTAATGCAAAAGATATGTACATATGCACCTACTGAATAAACATGCTGGATATGACATGTTTAAAATTTGCTCAGTGTAATTTTAGTATGTTTCATGCCAATTCTGAACTTACATTTAATATTAAAAATTAATAGATGGATTGATGAAAATATATTATTCGTGTAATATTTTCAAGGTAAAATGGTACGTGAAACCTATGTACTTTAAAAAAAATTTAATGTGGTCTTCGTATTATTTTTTTAGTGTGACCTTCCAACTCATAAAAAGAATCCAATATGATTCTTTGACTAATGTTTTCTATCATTGACCAACATTAGTGTAAGTACTTCGCCATTAGGATTCTCTAAGTTAACCATAAGTTTCTATAAAAAAAACATCTCGATGATTCATTTCCTACTATACCGCCCACACAACAGGAAACTGATTATTTTTGTCTTTATGAAAATCACGTATTTCAATGTTGTTAAACTTTGAAGAGTATGTCCGAATCAAGTAACCTCAGTTGTTAAATAAATAGTTGTTATTTTTAGAAGTCTCGGGTTCGAACACTAGTGATTGTAAAATATTTAAACGTTCGTTGTCAAATGGTTGGAAGTTTTTAATACTATCACTTAAGCACATCAAATTAATTAACTCCAAAAAAATATGAAACCGAGTTGTTTTTTTAAATGAATAATCTTAACCAGAAAACAACAGAAGTTGATAAAATAGGAGATTTGATCACCCAATGGAACAGCATGCAAATTTAACCTGTTTTCTCATGTTCGAACTGATAAAACTGAGCAGTTTTGGAGTCTGAACATGAAGACAAGCAGAGCAGCAGAACAAAGAACAGTGAGGTTGGATTCGTTTTCAGACCATTGGAATTAGAGCTTCGGATGGTTTTTGTCAACAGTGTTCCAACTTCAAACCCTACTTCTCCATGACCCTCTCATCCAATTATGGATTGGATTATTATTAGGGTAGGTAAATTAATGTTTAATACCTAAATTATCAATTTTAGTCTGTTTTAATATTTAATTTTAAAAAAAAAATTATACCTAAAGTTTATTTTTTGTTTCATTTTAGTACCCGTTGAGGTTAAAAACTTTAGATTTTGTTTCGTTTTAGTACCTTGTTCAAAATTTAACTTTAAGTTCTGAAAAGATTGAAAGTTTAGGTACTAAAACGGATCAAAACTTATAGAACTGATAGTTTAGGTGCTAAAACGCGTTAAGTTTTTAAGGCGGGGTACTTAAATGAAATAAAAACTAAACATTAGGTATTGTTTAGAAAAAATTGAAAGTTTAGGAACTAAAATAGACCAAAATTGATAGTTTAAGTACTAAACACTTTAAGCTTTTAATAGTGGGATACTAAACTGAAATTAAAATTAAACGTTACGTATGATTTTAAAAAAATTAAAAATTTAAATATTAAAATTGATAATTTAGATATTAGTAGTTTACCGTATTATTATTTTAAATCTTGTTGCTTCTATATGTATATATATATAGAGATATCTGCAGATCGGTCAACAGTAGCTGCTGCTTTTCAAATTGGATAAGATGATGAATTTTGTGTCTGCTGATTGGTCTTACACGTAGGGTTATGAATATCACGAGATATATTATAAGTTATTTGAGTTTGATTTGATTAAAATTTAATTAACATTCGATTTGAATGTTTTTTATTTGAGTTCTTAATGAACCGAAGTAAACTATTTAATATTTAAATTCAAAAATTTCACGAGCAATTCAAAAAATGATATATATTAAATTTCTAAATTTTTTAAATTAAATTATTAATAGTACTGACATTTATATGTTGTTTTTAAAAATGTAGTATAAAGTTTTCATGCATTTAAGATTTAGGTTTGAGTTTGAGTTTGAGTTCGAACTTTAATCGAGTTAAGTCTAAGAATGTTTCGAGTTTAAGTTTTATGGAGCTCGAGTCGAAATTCAAATTTTGATTTCGAGTTGGAATTGAGCTTGATAGTTTTAAGCTCACGAATTTTCTAATCAAGCTCAATTTTGAGCTTTTCGAGTCAAGTCAAACTCAATAGTACTCGAACTCAACTCGAATAATCATTTGTGAACCAATAGTCGTCTATAGGGGTGCTTAATGAGTTGAGCAACACGTGAGCAGCTCAAATTCGACTCGGTCAAAGTTCGGTAAAAACTCGACTCGGGTTGACTCGACTTTAACTCGAGCTCGACTCGAGACCTTAGCGAGTTGAGTCGAGAAAAGCCCAACTCGAATCGGTAAGTTCTCGAGCAGCTCATTAATTTTTTATATAATTTTTAGTAGTTATTTTAGAAAATTACTTCATACACTCAAAAATCAAACCTTATTTATTATTTTAATGTATTTGGGGATTGTTCCTTTGGAGTTTAGACTTTAAAATTACTTCATACATTCTTTTGAGAAATGTTTTTGGTTAAATTTATTAATTTATGTTTATATTAAGTTCTATATAATATTAGTATATTTATGTTTATATTAAGTTCTATATAAATTTATTAATTTATGTTTATATTAAGTTCTATATAAATTTATTAATTTATGTTTATATTAAGTTCTATACAATATTAAGGTAAAAATTTCAGTGAGCTTAGCGAACAACGAGACGAGCAATGAGGTCAAGTTTAACGAGCAACGAGTCGAGCAACAAGTTTTCTTAACGAGCACAAGTTGAGTAAAATTTTAACGAGCAACGAGCCGAGTTGAGCAACAAAATTTTTTAACGAGCACGAGTCGAACACTACCCAACTCGCGATCGACTCACTCTATAAGCACCCCTAGTTGTCTATCTCTTCAAATCCTCACTAGAGCATAAAACGGTGACGTTTCACGAGCTCAACAAGTTCAACAACTGTCACTCGGTCCATGTAATTGTCACGCCCTCAGAACCTTCGAGCCCAAACTATCACAATATCAGAGTTAAGGTCTGACGGGACGTGCTGTCTTAGACACTTCTGGGTCTTCTCTGTGACTAATTAAGCCTTACCCCAAGCATACACATTGACGTCTAGACACGTGAAATAAATAAAATCTAATTATTTATCATAGTTTGATCCTCATATTTTATAAAATTTGAGAAATTAATCCAACTAAATAATATTGATAAAACTTATTCTTAAATTCAGAGAAAAAGTCATAGAACATATAATATGAAGATCATATTCAGATAAAAAGATATTTTTTTAGTATTCATATATATATTTTATTGACTAGTTAGAAAAAAGTATCAACAAAAAGTATCATTAATTTAAATAATTAATTTAAATATTTTATTAATAAACCATAAAAATAATTAAACTTTATCAAATACATTATTTTCATTACTTTATTAAGAAAATACAACTAAAATAATGAGAGACATTTATTAACTTATAAGTTTGTCACTTGAAAAATCTCATCCTCCGAGCATTCTATCAAGCAAATTCATCAATCAAATCTTCATAAGCAACTTTACATAAAATCTCATTCTCGATTGCCACAAGAGCTAGTCCATTAAGTCTTTCTTGTGACATAGAACTACACAAGTAAAATTTGAGCAATTTTAACTTTGAAAACTTCTTTCGAATATACAAGCTAATCTCTATCACATTTTTCTCTATTTGGTAGTATTTTAGTGTAGAATGAGGTAGAAAAATGTCTTCTAATTTTATCTTTAACACCTTTCACAATGGATAAATCTCTTTTAGGACCTTTAATTGCAAAAATGTCAATCATTTGAGAATCAAAAGCGTCCCAATTTCTTGGATCAAATATATTAAACTTATGATACACGATATCGTCAAAAATATTAACATTATCAACATCAACATTATTAGGCTTATCAATATCAAAATTATAAACATCAACATGCTCAACATTTGAAAGCCCAACATCATTATCAAAGGCATTTTTCTCGTTTACTTGATCCTCATCACCATGTTCATTATTATTATTTAAATTCACATTATCATCAATATTAACGTTATTATCATCGACATTATCAATATTAGACTCATCAATATTAGCAACGTTTTTTTGAACACTTGGGACTCATTAATAAAAAAAATTTATCAAGTGCTCCTCTTTGGGATTGAGCTAACTCATCAATTCTTTTTTTCTTTTTATGTTTTTCACATCCAGAGTTATACTTTCTTTTATGAAGCATATTTTCTTTCATATCCTAAATGATTAGACTAGTAGTTATAACATGCAACAAATAAAATTTCAAGAATAATTAATAGGAAAAAGTATGAGCAACACAACCTGATTTTTGAGTCGAATAATTTCAAAAATTAAATTTTCTTCTCAATCTTTGAGACCTTGTTCTTCCAAAAATTAGCAAATCCGAAAGCCCAAAACATCCAACATTCTTATTCTTCTTCTTGAATTTGAATGAATTGAATTGTGAGTATGGTATAAAAATGAATAATATAAGAATATTTCTTTTTGAATTTGAATGAAGTGAATGGTAGGTATGGTATATAAAAGGAATAATTTAAGAATATTAAATTAGAGAATGAGTTGATATTGAAGAAAAAAAGTTCAAAAATTTTAAATAAAATGTAGATTGTGATTTGAGAAAGAAAAATATAAATATTATATTTAAATTGGAATTCAATAAATGTGAAAAAAATCTAATTATGGGAAACTAAAAATATTTAATTATTTTACCATTAAAACTTTGGGTTGTGTGGTAAGTTAATGAGATTCTGGAAATTAAAAATTGAATTGAAGAAATACTCATCCAGCTCAGTTGGTAGAGTGCAAGACTCTTAACCTTGTGGTCGTGGGATCGAGTCCCACGGTGGGCAATTCATAATTACCGGAGGTCTTCCACGGAAGTTGCTCTCAACCTAGCGTTGGGGGCAGCCTACTACCCTACCTCCCCCTTATCCTATTACATATGGGAATAGGGTCAGCTAATTTACTCATTAACCGTTAAAATTAAAAATGGACCCCATCAGTTATATATGAATTTATATATGTTAAAAGCGATGAAGCTCGTTTCGATCAACCAAAAATAACCAAGAGGGGGTAAATTGATTTTTTGAAGTTTAAGGAGTAGGGAGTACAAGGATAGGAAAATTTGTACAAGGATTTTCCAACAAATCCACTAATTTATTCTTTTTTTTAAGGATCAAGAGTAACATTTACAACTTCCTAGTTTTTCAATTGACTAAACTAGAACCAAAACCCCTTAACAAAGGATAAGAAATGTCTAAACAAGAAGACCTCTCTAGGTAGGAGTTTACAAAGATTTAGCTTACAAAAACAAAACTTAAGGATATACAATTAAGCTCAAAACACAAAAATTTACAAGATTTTGAAAAGTTTTTTTCCTTGTGTTTGATTACTTGAATAGGTGTTGGTAACCCTCTTCAAGTGTCTTGAACTTGTTTTTATATGTTAGGATTAGTTACTAGCCATTTCAAGCCGTTGAGATGTTTCGGAGCCGTTGGGGATCAAAATAGTCGTTACCTACAACTTTTAAGGCGCAGGGGATCGATCCTTTTACCAAAGGGATTGATCATTTTCCAAATATTCCGACCGTTATACCAAAAGGATCAATCCTTTTTGGGAAGCGATCAATCAGTTTCCTCGAGGGATCAATCCTTTTGTCAAGGGATCGATCATTTTGCTAAGGGGTCGATCCTTTGAGCCAGGGAAGCTTGGAAACATGACTTTAAAGCGCGAAAACAATCGAGTAAGTTTTGAAAAGGTTCGACTAAGTTTGAAAAATATTTAAAAACATATTTTTAACTTTTATTGGGCTTTGAATTACTTTTGAAGACTTTGAATAAATTCAATTTAATCCAAAAAAATATTTTACATTTATTTGTTATATCAAAATATAAGTTATATAATATATATATATATATATATTACACGTACACTATTTAAGTTTTGAACTTTTGGAAGTGAAAGAATAATGGGTGTGGGCCCCCTGATAATATCACAATTACTCTTGAAAACTAATATTTATATAAAATGGGGCCCCTAGGTTGCACATGTTGCTCTCCTCAAAAAGTTAATTCTTGATAAATAAAAGGTAATATTATGTTTAGGGATAACTCTCAATAATTTAAAATTGATCGTTAAAATTCTTAACATTCCTCGTGCTCAAACCAGTGATCTCAAGAAATAACAACAATTTATTTACCACTAAGATTGTTTGGCTTGTGCTATAGACTCCATTTCTAACTGAATGTACCTTTTTCATATAAATAATTATTATAGTTCTCTTTTATAATATAGTATTTATTTAGAATATCTTTTAGTTATTATAACGTATACAATTTCTATAGACACAATTATTTAAATTTGAGTCATCTAAAATGTATAATAATCATTATTAACACTAAAATTGCTTGATGAATATTTTTTAATATATATAGAGATGGGCATGGGACCTGAACTCGAAGGGTTCCGACCCGATCAAATCGGTTTTTTTAATAAAAAAATCAGATTCGAGTTGGGTTTTTTTTAAAAGTGATGTTCGGGTTGGGTCGGATTCGAGTTTAGGATAAAAATACTAGACCCGACTTGGAAAAAAATATAATTTTACATTATATATTTAGGAATAATTAAAATAATAACCCTCTATATATTATTTTTTTCAATTAAATTACTATTTTTATTGAATAAAAATATTATTTTTTATTATTTTTGGTCGGATCGGGTCTGATTCAGATTTTATTTCAAAAAGTTGGGTCGGGTGGAGGGTATATATTATGCGGATCGGGTCGAACTTCGGGTGGAGGAGTCATTGTTCTCGGGTCGGATCGGGTAAACCAAAAATCCGACTCGACCCATTCTCATCCCTATATATATATATATATATATATATATATATATATATATATACACACACACGTTTAAAATTATTAGTTGGGAGAGTCCTCCTGTAATATACTACCTTCTTACTATCTTATTTGAACTAATTCATCAATGATTTGAACAACAAATATTATTAAGAGCAGTAGATAAATCATAAATTTTGTCATTCAACTTTATTTTCACTTTTATTTCGACCAAAAAAGTTTAAATTCGTTTAATTTATTTATTACACTTTTGATCTACTCCTATTTTGGTCATTCAAATTTAATTTTTTAATTTACTCGTTAAACTTTCGCTTTGCTCATCTTTTGATCACTTGAGTGTTAATCCATAAATGAAAGGGCTTCATAGATGTATCCACATCGGCGTTGTGACTATCATTCTCTGGTACCTTTTCTGACCACTCAAGATATCGACAAACTGGTATCTCCTACCACTTTATAGCAGTTCAAATTTTACCTAAATAACTTTAAAACTAATCAAACTCAATCTTAAACTCAATAACTCGTAAACTCTCAAACCACTCTAATCTATAATATCCACCAACCGATCAACGTGGAATCAAGAAATCAAAGGGAATTCAAAATTGGATGTTCTTTTCACAAAAATGAAAAAGTTTTGGGGACATTTCATATTTTTTTAAAATGTTCAGTCAAAACTACATGAAGTATTTAACACATGATTAATCAAAATAGGAGCAAAATGGAAGTCTAGTGAATAGATTAAAAAATAAATTTTAGTAACTAAAATATGAATGTGTCAGAATTTACCCTAAAAATAAAGGGAGAATTAGGGTACACTATGCATTTAGTACCTGAACTATCAGTTTTGATCTATTTTAGTACTTGAAGTTTTATTTTTTTTTTCAAAATCATACCTAATGTTTAGTTTTTATTTTATTTTAGTATCTCACTGTTAAAAACATAACGATTTTTGTACCTAAGGTCTTAAACTATCAATTTTCGTCTGTTTTAATATCTAAACTTCTAAAAAAAATTCAAAATTTAACATTACATTTTGAACAGTGGTACTAAAATGAAATAAAAATTAAACTTTATGTATGATTTTGAAAAAAATTGAAAGTTTAGATACTAAAATGAATATAAACTGATAGTTTATATACTAAATGCGTAATTTACCCGTGAGGTTTAAGTAGCCAGCAAAATCTGCCGGGAAAAAGGCAGGATTCAGTTGACAAGTTATTTAAAAGATACAAAAACAAATGAAAAATGTGTTTCAATGGAGTCCCATGCAAATCTCCAAACTTTCTCTCTCACCATTTTTAAAAGAAACTCAAGAAGAAAATTGTTGGGTTTGCTTTTTTTAGAACTTTTTCAAGATTAGTAAACGTTAAAAAGAATCTCAAATTTAAAAATTTTCATAAAAAGAACTAAATCTGTCAAGTTTATTCTGAAAAACATCAAATCAATGGCCATTTTGTTTCTATAGACAAACATCTGTTCAAAGAGATTTATTTTGCTCCCCACCCTTCATCTATTATCATCCCTTCGACCCTCTTCTTCTTGCACATGCTGGTAAAGATCATATCTTTTTTTTTGAAGGTTTATTATGTATTTGATGTTCATCTTTACAGAAACGAAAATCCGGGGCTAACATTTTTTTCGAACCAGGTGCTGAACGAGATTACAAGGTTGTTGCTGTGATTCATGGAGGACGCTTCGTCGTTAGCTGTCGATCGACATGGTCGAACGTGTGAGTCTTTTATATAAACGTGACAAAGAGATTAATCAATCATGCACACACCAATTGCTTGATGAAATGACAAACGGAGTTATGCAGGTGTTGAAAAATCTGACGTGGAGAGCTCTGAGGATGAGAAGAAGACGAGACTTGGGGGTCTTAAGAAGAAGGCAATAAGTTCTTCCACCAAATTCAGAAATTCTCTCCAGAAAATCAGGAGACATAGCAGAGTTATGTCTTCCGATTGTATCGAAGATGACCTCGATGCTAAAGAGCTACAATCGGTGGCCGCGTTTCGCCAAGCACTCGTCGCCGATGATCTGTTACCTGCTAAACATGATGATAATCATATGATGCTAAGGTTGTTATCTTTCGATCCGTATTTCAACATACATTAGATGATCCAATGCTTAACTCATTATCTGGTGTGTACAGATTTCTGAAGGCCAGGAAATTTGATCAAGATAAAGCAAAGCAAATGTGGGCTGATATGCTGCAATGGAGGAAGGATTTTGGGGCTGACACAATCATGGAGGTATATATATGTATATACATATATTGCGGTTAATATTGACTATATGTTTCATCTTTGTAATCTGCATTGGAATTCTCGTTTTTCGGATTCGTTTGTTCAGGATTTTGATTTCAAGGAATACGACGAGGTGATCAAGTACTATCCTCAAGGATATCATGGAGTCGATAAAGGTGGACGACCGGTTTATATTGAAAGACTTGGACAAGTCGACGCAAACAAGCTGACTCAAGTAACAACGATCGACCGTTACCTGAGGTACCATGTAAAGGACTTTGAAAAGACCTTGAATGTTAAGCTCCCTGCTGCATCTATTGCAGCAAAAAGGCACATTACTCAGAACACGACTATATTGGATGTCGAAGGAGTGGTATGTGGTAATTTCTGTCGTTCATTTCTCCCAATTTGGTTTGCTTCATTGCACTTCTAATATTTACATCATATACGAGCTTTCAGGGGCTTAAAAGCTTCAACAAGGCCGCGAGGGAGCTCCTTCAATGCCTTCAGAAGATTGATGGTCACAATTATCCCGAGGTAAGTCGTTAATCGTTAAGCACTTAGTTTTATGTGCCCTGAGATTCATGCTAGCTTGCTCCAGCTCCCTTATGAACTGAATGTTTTATGTATACTGCAGACTCTTAACCGCCTGTATATCATCAATGCTGGTTCTGGGTTTAAGCTGTTATGGAGCTCGATTAAATCGTTCCTCGACCCGAAGACCACGACGAAAATCAATGTAAGCATAAATCATCAGTTCACTCGAAACAAGATTTGCTTGTGATACAATGATATCGCTAAATAACATTTATGTTATGCTTATCAGGTTTTGGGTAACAAATACCAAAGTAAATTGCTGGAAGTTATTGATGCTAGGTAAGTCTCATCTCAACCGATTGAAATGTCGTTCCGATAAAGAATGCGTGTATCACACTAGTGTCCAATGCATGTCAAACATTCGCATATGTCATACACATACCATTACTCGACAAATTCAAACCCGTTGCTCTTTTCTTCTTACCAAACTTGCTATGCTTAAGCATTTCTTTTTGCGATCTTTGACAGTGAACTGCCTGAATTTTTTGGTGGTACCTGCAATTGTTCAGACAAAGGAGGTTGCATGGTTTCAGATAAGGGTCCGTGGAACGATCCCGAAATATTAAAGGTATACATCCAAGATCGGTTGATTAATTTGTTGGAATAATGAAATGAATAACTTTCATTTCGATGAGCAGAGAGTCGAAAACGGTGAGGCCAAGAGCACATGGAGAACTCTGTCAGGCATCAATGAGAAAGCAGGCCGAGAGGTAATCAATCACTCATAGTCAAGGCTCTGCAGCACAGGCTTTAATATCTAGTTCCTACAAATCGAATGCCTAACATTTTGTTTCGATGTTTTGGATCATGAAGCTTCATTCCTCCGACAAGGAAATAGCTATGGACAGCACTGAATGGCCTGCAGAGAATCCATCGTTGTCTCCGTTTCCGGAAGTAAGTTTGATATCTAGGCTTCTAACCTGAATGCCTAACATAACTGCATGTGTTCATATATTGCAGACTTCAATCAAGAAAATGTGCCAGGAATCCTATGCCTATGGCCAACTTATGCCTATAGTTGACAAGAGAATGGATGCTTCTTGGCCTAAATCAGTTGAATACGAAAAGTTCGCCGTCACCAAAGGTTAATTCTGTATCCATTATTTCAGTTTTTCGTTAACATTCAATGAGTGGATCGGAGACCGTAATCTAGGGACGACGAAAGGGTTACAGATGCTGAGATTCCAAGTCCGGACCTGCTTGATGCCACCTCTTATGGCTTTAGGTTCTATTTCATGGAGCTTAAGAACATGATATCACGTCCATTATTCATTTTGTCACTTTTTCCCTCCAAAACTGCAGATAGTTACCAGGTGAAGAATGGTGGAAAGTCTAGTGAAGGAATGGGAAGGGGCATTTTCGGAGGAATCATAGCGTTCGCAATGGGATTCGTAACCATGGTCCGCATGTCCCGTGGCATGCTGAAGAAACAAAGTTTAGCCCCGGTGTATGAGGGTGGTCAAGTTTACTATGCCAAGCAAATCACCAGCCCTGCCCCACCACCGATCACTAATGCCGAATTCTTCGCCATGACAAAACGCGTGGCTGATCTTGAAGAGAAAGTAGTCTTTCTCAGTTCGAAACCAGCCGTCATGCCGCCTGATAAAGAAGAGTTGTTGAATGCTGCTTTAAGCAGAGTCTGCGTCCTGGAAAAAGCACTATCTGAAACTAGGAAGGTGCATACACACACACACACACACATACATACATGAGGGTGCTCTTTGTAGACAAAGGGAGCTTCAAAAATTCATTGACACACACATACATACATACATGCATGCATAACTCTTTTGTTTGCCATCTTTCCATATGCAGGCACTTGAGGGTGCTCTTTTTAAACAAAGAAGCTTCAAAATAAGCCCTGACACACACACACACACATACATACATACATAACTCTTTTGCTTGCTATCTTTCCATATGCAGGCACTTAAGGATGCTCTTGGTAAACAAAGGGAGCTTCAGAAATTCATCGACAGGAAAGAGATGAAGAAATCTGCAAATCACAAACTCTTTTCCTGCTTCAGATCCTAAAAGAAGATGACGCAAACCCTACTTATATATGTTGAGAAATGCTTGTTCTTCACGGTTTCTTGTCCATGGATTATGATTGCAGGCGCCATTGATGTTGGTGGTGGCGTTGGACATGTTTATTCTGCCCCACAGATGAAAATATATATTGTTTTGCTTTGTAAAAATATTAAAAATTCCAAAATTCTGTAAAAACTACCATGTTTAACGTATTTAACGTCTCGTCCTTTTCTTAATTAATGATCATAAAGATCAATAATTTATATACCATACGAAAATAAAGACGGATCGGTTTCGATTCGATTTTTGGGTCGGCTACTAGCTCACCAGATGTTTTTCTTCATGCCGAAGTCAGCTATGGGTACTTCACTAAGACAAATATTTGGGACAAGAAAATCCAGTGATTATTTAACATGTTTTTTTCATGTCTAATACAAGGGTTCTTAGAGGGAAAGGAATCCCAGGCCTACACATTTTGAAAGACCCATTTGCCCTATACATGTTGAACATATCATGTCAAATCAAAGGGTAGTTTGGACAATATCAACGGTCGTACTGCACTCTTTGATTTTTTTTATAGAAAATAACTTCAGTGATTGAAAATTCCTTATAATATACGATTTTGACTAATTTTTTTTCGATTTGTCAAAATGACCAACAAAATCACAATGCGATCTCTAAATCGCAACGCGATCTCCAGTATCGCAAATCAGTTTCCAGATTCGCAACGCGATTTTAACTATCGCATTACAATTTTCTAAAATCGTAACAATTTTCGGTCACTGAGGTTATTTTCTCTTTTTTTAATGGGAGAAAAGGTACATTTGGAGAATTGTGTATTAAATATGTTTATATAAATTTAATATATTTATAATTTTTTTAATTATACGAATTGTAATATTTGTTTTAAAAACTTTTAATTATTTAAAATTAAACACTCAAATATTTTGTAGTTTTTGCTATTCGAACTTTGAACCTATAAAAATAATAATTTTATGTTCAAATAACATGTTAGTAATTTTTAATTGTTGTTGGAAATGTTTGATTTTAGTGATTTTTGGTTATTATTTTTCAGGTGAAATGTTATAATTGTTTGTTTGGCGGAGGGAAAATAGAGAATAAACGAAGTGAAGATGATAACAAACAATATTGAAAAAGGAAATTACAAGAAATTTTTTTGGAAGATTATATAGTTGGTCGCTTTTGTTTCATTTTTTAATGGTATGGCCACTCGATTCAAAAAAAAGTAATATGTTATCACTTTTGTTTCATTTTAATTAAGATGTGGTCAATTGGACGTTAGCTGCCATGAGTTGAATGACGTGGCACGTTAGTAAAAATATTTAACTTTTATTTAAGCCCTTAAACTTTAGATAAATTGCAAAATATGAATCTTTTGTAAACAGGAAATAGTTCAGGGGTAAATATCAATTTACCCTTTTTATATATGTCATCTTTCCCAAGCTTTCTTCTCCGCCGCTTCCCCTGCTTCATTTCTAAGGAAGCTGCAAAATCCATTTTCGTGGTTTTAAACAGTAAAAAATTTCTTGAGATTAAATGGCACCAAATGTTCCATAGAGGAAGAGCTGCCAAAGGGATTAAAACAGATTGGACGATGCATGAATTTCGACTGCTTTCAGTCTCGGACAAAACCCTTTCTGCTAATGTAACTGATAATCATTGAATTGATTAATGGTTTTTTTTTTGTAGGAACCATCTATCATTTAGCTTGTTTTCATTACAGGATTCGTGGGCTATTTGTAGGATATTCAGAAAGATCAATTTCATTGCTCAAAGAGCTCTTTCTCGTGTTTTGATACCCTCATTATCATCTGATATACTCCACAATTGTGACCCTTTCAATCAGTTCAATTCGGACAACATTTCTTGCAGAAACAATGAACTGCAACATGCACAACAATGGAGACCATCTCCGTTGCCGGATCCCAATGGAGACCTTCACAACAACTTCACGTTTTCGATCGATGCTTCATCTACTGTATTGAAGCCACATACGATGATGATGGTCGCCGGTGAAGTTACGAACAACTCCGGGAGTATGGATTTTGAAGGGCAACAACAGCATTTCGATTGCTTCTCAATAAACTTAGCACAAGACCTGCAAGGAACAGGGAAGACTTGGAATGAAGGCCTTGATGAGATTTCCTTTTAGTTTGTAGCTAAATGTGTTTGATTCATGGAAGCCTAATCTGCCATGGGATTCTCGTCCACTAATTAACACACAAATGCTATTAAATAGTTGAAGGAGAGGAAGCGGCGGAGAAGATAGCACTGGGGAATAAATATATATGAAAAAAAGCGGTAAATTGATAATTCATCCCAAAATTATTTTGAATTTATAAAAAGACTCACTATTTAACACCCTAACGTGTCACGTTAGAAAATCGTTAAAGGTTTAACGATCGTTTATGTTAAGTGATCATAAGTATTAACCTTTTTGAATCGAGTAATCATAGGTTTAAAAATAAGAAATAAAGTGATCAACTATGTAGTTTACCCAAAAAAAAAATAGTTTTTTTGGTAAATAACAGTGAAACATAAGTAGGACCAAGCGACTAGCTTGTCCCAAGTAAATCTTCCTGCAGCATCGTCTCCAACTCAGCTGGCGGATGTCCAAATTCCAGCACACCAGGGGAAGAACCACGGCTCCAACCAGCTAAAGCATCAGCTACAACATTTTGATTACGATGAATATGCCTCAACTCGACAACTCACTCCCGATTCCGAAGCTCATTAACAGCACACACAAGGCCATTACCCGCCAACACGCCCGACAATTGATACCATATCTTCGACACCTCTAAATTGTCCGTTTCCAGTTCAACTTGCCAATATCCGAGAACCCATGCATACTGTAAAGCATCATGGACTGCCCATAGTTCAGCCACAAGCACGGAGCAGCGACCAATACTCTGGGAAAACCCATAGAACCAAGCCCCCTCAGAATCTCTAATAACTCCCCCCCCACAGGCCACAGCAGCCATCGAGTCTGAAGTGCGAACAGTCCCATCGGCGTTCACTTTCACTCATCCAGTGCGTGCGTGCATGCGTGCGTGCGTGTGTTGCAGTATCCTTAGTAGCTAGGGGCTTCAAACTAGTACTGATTTTGGTGAGGTTGTATTATGTATTTTGCTACTTGTGGTCACATTAAAAAAATCAAAAGATTTTAGGTTTGATTAATAAAGTTTAAGAGATTTTCCAATGAAACAATGATTCAATTCTTATTTTGAAGATTAAAAAAAATTAAAAAATTTGGACTCCAATAATTATAGGAGACTTTGATTGGATTCAAGAGTTAAATAAATATTCATCTAAAATTCAAAATTCAAAATAATATTATATCTACAATTCATAAACTAATTTTGTAACAACGTACACATCCTGCAAATATAAATGCTCAAACTCAAGATTTTTTTTTTAAAATGACTTTCTATTTTACTACTAAAATTATTTGATCGATTTATTCATAAATCAAATTGAAAATTAAACAGTTTACTAATATATAACATCACCGCATTTAATATTTCAGTAACCAAAAATATTATAAACTATAGGGTAAATTATGTATTTAATACTTAAAATATTAACTTTAATATATTTTAGTATCTGAACTTTTAATTTTTTTAAATCATACCTAACGTTTAGTTTTCATTTCATTTTAGTACCCCGTCATTAAAAACTTAACATGTTTAATATCTAAACTATCAGTTTTGATCCGTTTTAGTAACTAAACTTTCAATTTTTCAAAACTTACTATTAAATTTAGAACGACAATACTAAAATGCAATAAAAATAAAAAATTTTAACAGAAAGATACTAAAATTAAACAAAAATTAAACTTTAAGTATCGTTTTGAAAAAAAATTAAAAGTTATGTATTAAAACAGATCAAAACTAATAATTTAAGTACTGAACATATAATTTACCCTAAATTATAACATAAAATGACTAACATTAGTTACTTGTAAGAGAGAAGGTGGATAGTGTGTTGATGGGTTCTATCTTTAAAGGGTTGCAATGGAACTCAGGTTTGATTATTTTTGTTGATTAGAAAGTTACGATCGAAAATATTATAAACAAATATAATTTTTTGGGTTACGTATAATTTAAAATGTTAATTTTTTATTAATATATTTTAATATAAATTTTATTCGCAACATTTTAAATTGTAACAAAATGTTATATTTTTTACAATATTTTTGATATTATGTTATTTATAATATTTTTGGTCGCATTTTTCTTTAACCTTATATTAAGTTGTTGTGCCGTAAAACACCATATAATCAATAAATGAATTGACACAAATAACCGGTTTAATATTAGATTTTGTATAATATAATATCTAGATATTTTTATTTTTTATATTTACCTTATAATATTACAAGGTAAATTATTAAAAGAACAAATCAAATTAGATTTGAACCTCGAATTTTATTCAATTTAATAAGGTGATAATAATACCTTGAATGTAGCATTTGCCGCGTGTAAATTTTATACATGCAAAAACCAGCCCTCACTCAACTAAACTCTTCAAAATCCTTTTTTTTTACGTACGAAAAGAAATGGCTGATCTACGAGACGAACACGGCAACCCTATTCAACTCACCGATGAACTCGGTAACCCCGTTTACATCATCGGTGTCACCACCAAGCGTCTGGGGACAACGACCCTATCGGGCTTAATAGGACATGGCAACGGTTCGACTGCCAACCACTCACCAGCCGAAACAGCTGCAGCCACCGCCGCCACATGATGAGGCTTCTGATGTAGAAAGATTCTAAGCTCCTACAAATCTAGCTTCAGGATGGAATTAGGCAGAACAGGCGCATGCGGTCGCTCCACTAAAAATCTAAAATTATTATATATTTTTAATTTTTTTTCTATGTATTTTTTATTGAAAATCTCTTTTCGCTTATGTTGCATCAATACGAATCAGGAGACAAGGACCAGGACATGAAATAACAATTTCTAAAATTATAAGGTACGAGACGACAAGGGTACGATATTTAAAAAAATTTAAAATTATAAATAGATGTAAATAATCATAAATAAAGCCAATATTCCATACAAAATGATATAACACCCTAATTTAAATCTAATTAAAAATCTTAACATTTGAGAATTTTTTTTCTAAATCTCTAAATTAATTTTAGTGGCCAATTTGAAAATATTGCAAAACTTATTACCAGATTTGAAAGCCCTAGAATGCTTCAGGGATCAACTGACAATTAAACCAAATATTCTTTAAATCCTATTCTCTCTTCTTCCCCACCCTGCCCGCGGCCAGTTCATTCTTCCTTTTCTTTCTTTATTTTCACAAAACCTAGCCGTCCTTTATTCACTCTTCATGCCGTTCGCAACACCACATCAAATCGTCCCCAAATAAACTTTGACCGTCCCCAAGTAAACTTTGACCATCCCCGAATTTAGTTAACCGCACCCTACCATCGTGGAGCGTCCTTAGTTCGTACCCCAACTGTCCTCGTACAGTTCTAGTGCCTGAAACGTATCGGGTACTTAAAACAGATCTCATTTGGCATCCCGTACTTCATAGGTTTTTGTCCCTAAAATTTTATTCACCACTTAACCACTTAAATTTTATAAGTTCAAACTCGTTTCTACATAAAATCTTAGGTATGTCCACGTCAAACTCGATAGTGAAAATCGTAAAACCGACTCATATAAACATATTTATATTTACTATGGATGTTAATCCCTGATCTTCAATTAGGGATTAGTAACAAAGAAAATCAGTAAGATCCAAACAAATCAAACCCTAATAATTGTGTGTCAATCCAAACCTAATAATTACAACTTAAGAATCGAATCAAAGATTTCAACAAGTAAACGCAGATTTGGTTTACCTAGAAACAGTGCTTCAATCCGAGCCCGTGCTTGCCGTGAACACACCCAGGCTTCACATACAAAAACGGTGACCGCTTCGAATTGTTCATCTTGGCAAACGCCCTTTTCCCCAATTTCCTCATCCTCTGCCTCCCGAATTTCCCAGCCAAATCCCTCGGGACCAACTCGTCATCCAGATCACACCCATAGCCATCATCATCACCATCGTCGTCGTCGTCTTGATCGTATATGTACGGCTCACCGTACACATCATCGGACGGCTCGTAATCGAAGCCGCGATCATCGACGTCTGGAATCATGTCGGGAATCGCGACGGCAGTCGGAGAGGAGAAAAGCAAACCACGAGATTCAACAGCACCGGCATCGGAATCGTCGGAGTGAACGAATTCCCAATGGGACAGATCGTCATCTTCTTCTATGAAAACGAATTCCTCAGGATCTCCATTCATGGCAGGTAAAACAACAACATAAGCTTTGTTTTGGTTCTCCATTTCCCCCTCTATTCACTGGTTTTTATTCTTTCTTTTTTCTTTTTGGAAATGGTAAATCGAGTAGCTTGAACGGAAGTTTCTCTATAAGTAACGCTTGTGGATCACGAATTAATGTTTGGATACTGGACCACGTCTTTCCGACCAATGACTATAAGCCACGTGTGATTCGTAACTTAACTTCTTAACCTTCCTCACCAACAAGGTATTTTTATAATTTTTTATAGGATAAATTATATATTTAGTACCTAAACTATCAGTTTTGAACTATTTTAATACCTATATTTTTAATTTTTTCAAAATTATACCTAAATTTTGTTTATGTTTCATTTTAATACCATTGTTCAAAATTTAACGTTAAGTTTTGGGGAAAAAAAGAAATTTCAGGTACTAAAAACGGACTGAAACTTATAGTTTAAGTACTAAACGTGTTAAAGTTCTTAATGACAATGTACTAAAATGAAAAGAAAACTAAACGATAAGTATGATTTTAAAAATTTTGAAAATTTTAATACTAAAATGGATCAAAACCGATAGTTTAGGTACTAAATACAAAGTTTATCTTTATTTATATCAGATTTATTGATAAATTAATTTAAATTATATTAAATCATTATTTTAAATTTATCGATAAATTCATATAAGATCAAATAATCCTTTTAATTTTATTTATTTCTTTTATAATGTGCTGGTGTGAATCATATATAAGATCTAGGATAAGCTACGCATTTAGTATTTAAATTATTAGTTTTGGTCTGTTTTAGTATCTAAAATTTTTAATTTTTTCAAAATCATATGTAATGTTTAGTTTTTGTTTAATTTTAGTATCCCACTATTGAAAATTTAACATGTTTAGTACCTAAACTTTCAATTTTGGTCCCTTTTAGTATCTAAACTTTCAATTTTTTTCAAAATTTAACATTAAATTTTGAATAAGGGTACCAAAATAAAACAAAAACTAAACTTTAGGTATAATTTTAAAAAATTTAAAAATTTAATACTAAATCGAACAAAAATTGATAGTTTATGTATTAAATGTATAATTTACTCTAAGATCTAATGTCTATAATTAAAATATTTTCATTCAATCTTTTTTGTCAGTTTAATGATAAACTTTAGAAACAAATCAATTTTGATTTAATATATTTAAAAAAATTTAGCATATTATAAAAAGATAGCTGGGTCACATTCAAGTTAATATAGTAATTTCAAGAGGTGAAAAAATAATTTAATTTATAAATTCAATTAAAATATTTTAAAATAAAGAGATCAAATTAAATCATTTTACCCTTGCCTAAGTCGTAAAAAATATTATATTAAATGTAAAAAAAAAGGCATTTTTTTTTCTTTCAAAGCATTTGTTCGTTTTAAAAAGAATTTTTTTTGGAAGTAGGGATGGGCATGGGTAGAGTTTAGGTCAATCCGATTCGACCCAAAATTTTACACAATTCATCAGATCTGACCTGACTCAAAAAATATATATCATTCACCCGACTTTCTAAGATAAAATTTGAATCTAACCCGACCCGAAAAAAAATTTATTCAATAAAAACAGTAATTTAATTGAAAAAAAAATTATAGAGAGGTATTATTATTTATTCATAAATATAAGGTAAAATTATTTTCCCCGAGTGGGGTCGGATCGGGTATTTTCACCATAAATCTGAATCTGACCCGACCTAATTAGGTCGGGTAGGAACTCGTTCAGTTCAGGTCTCATGCCCATCCCTATAAAAACACAGAGAAATCTTCACCTACATGATCTAATTTTAGAGAGTAAAATTCAATTTTGATTGTATTAAATAAAAAAATTTAAAATTCAAAAAATTCAAATTTATATAATTGTATAGTTGTATTTTATAAATCACGATCATGGTATAGAAAATTGAAGTGTAATTCAACTCTCTTGATCAAATATGCCCAAGTAATTAGAATTTCATGTAATATTCATATTATCCTCCAATTATATGCAAGGAAATATTCTCACCAGGAAAAAAAAAGTATATTGTAAAATACACATACCGATTCGAGTCCGAGAGATATAAGCACACAATCACTACAACAAAACAAGTATATAGCGGCGTTTTCAAAGCAAACTAAATGATAACATTAACGGCGTTTTTCAACAAACGCCGCTAAAACTCATACTTTAGTGGCGTTTTTAAACAAAAGCCGTAATAGGGTACATATATTGTGGCGTTTTTAGATAAACGCCGCTAAAACCTAGTACTTTAGAGGCATTTTACTTTAGAGGTGTTTTATGTAAAAACGCCGCTAAAACTCGTACTTTAGTGGCGTTTATACGACAAACGCCGCTAAAGATAAGTACTTTAGTAGCGTTTGTAAACAAACGCCACCATAGAATCGTTCTTTAGTGGCGTTTTTAAACAAACGCCGCAATAGGGTACATATATCGTTGCGTTTTTAAATAAACGCCGCTAAACCCAAATACTTTAGTGGCGTTTTATTCAAAAACGCCGCTAAATACTCATACTTTAGTGACGATTTTAGACAAACGCCGCTAAAACCTAGTACTTTATTGGCATTTACCCATTAACCCTTTCTCATTTTCCCCCTTAACCTATTTTTCATTCCCGCCGTTTACCCAAACCCATATGATGCTTCTTCGCCAATCTCACTTTAAGCAATGCGAAACAATTGGTTTATCTGTGGGAAAAACGCCAATAAAGCGATTGAAATTTGCAATAAACGCAATCAGACATATACCCACTTTTCTCTTTCAATTTACTTCTTACTTCCCAAAATCTGGCAACCATAGAAGGACTGAGGGCTCATTCATCGTTTAAACCTGAAATCTTCGATATTAACAGCAACGACGAAGCGTGTAGGCCTTGGCGTCATAGGTTGTCAATGGCTTTCACCTGGGGCTCATCTCTCATAATCACTCTTCTTCTCCTCCTTCTTGCTGCTATCATTTTCGCTTGTTTCACCCTCCTCGTTGAAAATGTTTGGGTTTTCTAGCTTTTTACACGTTTTCTTGATCTGGGTATATTTCTTTTCTCTTGTCTATTCTTTATTTTGCCTTTTTCTTTTGGTTTTCTGATCTGGGTACTTCTTGTTTTCTCCTTTTGGATTGATAATTTGATTTATTTGATGATTTTATGGGTTTTTTTAATCCGGGTAAGTTACCCTTCTTGCTCTTGACAATTATTACATTTTATATGCGATGCAGGTTGGGCATATATGCTGTTGAATCTTACTTGGAACAAATTTTGTCTCATGGGTTTTTCCACGCTGACCCAGTAAGATTTTGTGTTTATACAAATACCTTGGATGCTCAAGATATTCGAGTTTATTTGTGGAAATGCTAGGTGAAGGGGCATGGGTTGCTTATTATGTTTTGCACTTAAAATTATAGCATATATATCATTTCATGCCGTAGTTTCAAAGGAATGGTGTGCTTTTCATTTCATATATCAAGTATTTCCTTTTAGAACTAAAATGTGTTGTAATTGGCAGTTACCTGCTTGATATAATTATTTTCTCAGATTACAAAATCAACTTAGTGAGTTCCTCCTTGCACAATTTTTCTTTGCTAAGCAAGAAAAGGTTTATGATGCAACTATAAACCTAAATTACTGATATTAGAAATTGTTATGCAAAAAAATGGTGTAGCCTATTAGTATATTCCCATAATTGGGAGACTTCTTGTAGCCTATAATACCTTTTCTAGGTATCAAGACCAATAGCTGTAGTAGAGATACATAAGCTGTAGGTTTCCATTTCCATTGACAAAGGAGGAAAAGATAGAGAGAAAAAAGGAACGCTTGGCTGCAATCAGTAATATATTTTATGCTTTTTATCTTTATAAATGTAAACTAAGGTTTTACACTCTTGAATGCATCAATAAGGATTTAATAATGCGCCAACTAACTCGGCAAAGAGGACATGAGACCTTTTCATATTCTTCAGTGAGGAAGACTCACTAAGCATCTAATAGGTTAATTTGTTTTGCAATTTATTTGACATTTATAATACGTGGACATACATAAATAAGCAATCAGAGGAAAAAGATAATGTCAGCTTTGTTACTAGCAGATCAGTTTAGAAAAAAAATCGGTGTTATGTCTTATGAAAATGTTGCCTCCCTTGCAAGCTCTGGCCTTTTCTCTCTTGACACGAAAAATGTTTTTCATGTACACATTACTTGTGGTTCACTACTGAAAGCACTTGAAAACTTGAGTTGTCTTCATTTATATGAGGTTCAGTTGAAAGTCCTTAGAAAAACCTTCCTCTTTTAAGGTTGAACTATTTTTCTTTTGATATATTGATTTCCATTATATCCCTTTGAGTTAATATTCAACTGTTTACCCTTTCATTTTTTCTTTAGTGGGGTTACTGCTTCTCATTAATTTTACACTACATGAACAAAGGGAAGATTTATTAACCATTGTAGCAGATCAACCCTTTTGATTCCCTGCCACATTCACATTTGTTGTCAGATCATTTTCAGGTAATACATTAACCTGGTGGCTTCATTAATGTCCCTAGGTTTTCTGTGACCGATAATTTTAGGCTTTCGACTAACTATGTAAATTATACAATTTGATTCAACTAACTTTTGTCAAACTTCCTGTTCTAGGACATGGCAGGGTTGATAGGCCATGAATTGGAGATTAAGCTTGAGGAGTACAGTAGTGGGCAACCTCCAAATGTAACACATTTCTTCTTTCCCTTTTTCTGTATGACGAGAACTTTGAGTTTTATCACTAGTTCACTACTAGTGATGGTTGTAAATGGTCTGTTTGTGTGGTATAGACTACAAATTGTTCTTTCCCATCTTAGGTGTTATTATTGTTTATTCTAGTTAACAATGTTGAATTACATTATATTTTACGTAATTTAAACTTTGATTTATTATTATGGATTTCAAGTTTCTTGTTATGGATTTCAAGTTTGTGTCTTAATTAAAATTTATGGTTGTTAATTAGATAAAGCTAAATGATATTAAATTTAGGTGTTGTAGAGCAGAAATTAAATATGCAAAATCAATTAATATTAACTAATGAAAGGTAATTAGCG